TGTGTGGTTCATTGTTACTTGTTTTAAACACTCATTTTTAGTTGACAAAAATGACCAAAACCCAATTCTAGCTAATAAAAGAACTTGAAAGCTATTATAATTACATAAAGAAATTATAATTAATATAGTATTCCAATATTATATATACAACGAGGACTTGTCCAGTCAAATGATGTGTTGGGTGTTGCCAGAAACATGATGGCATATAAAAAATAATGTCAGAAATTGTGGTGGTTAACTGCAAAAATTGAAAACTTTAGAAATTTTGGGAGTGTAATTACAAAAATTGAAAACTGAAGAGATAAAAAATGGGCATCCATGGTACACCCGTACTCCCATAGGGTAGGGTTTAGGTTTAAATTTTTTAAACCCATATATATCAACCCGTTTTGAGCCCATTCCCATGAGATCGTACCCATTTTGACTCGACCGTAACCCGATCTATCCGTCCGTTTTGTTAAGTCTAATAACCATTACTATAAAACCCTTTTTTAAGAATTCATTATCAAACAGAGTAGTTCTTGCATAAAACATAAATTATTTCACGGAAGTCTGTTCCGGCTCTTATTATCAGCATTTAATAATTATATATATAAGAATTATTTTATTTAGCTATTTTATCTCTTTAAAGTGTCTAGTTTTACTAAAATACAGATCCACTATTTTTATCTAGATCAGATTCATTTAAAATTTGATACTCAAGGCTTCAACATTCTTTTTATTTAAATTAGTTTAACTTAATCATAAAATTTTAATAAACTGATTTTATAAATAATCATGTTTAATATAATGATACGTGAGACATCGAACTCAAACATAATGTAAAACTCCCTCCATTTCAATCTATATGTCGTTTTAGACTTTTTTTTTTTTTTTTTCTAAAATAAGTGTCATTTGATAAAAAAGTTGAGCGACCCTCTCTTTCTCTTTCTCGTTTTATGACCCTTGTCTCCTCTCTTTTTCTTTTTCTCTAACCCCTCGTCTCCTCTCTCTTTCTGTTTCTTGGTGTGCTCTTTATTTTTCTCAATTTTAGATCTGTCTCCATGGCTTAAACTGACACTTCACTTCAACAAAGATTCGAAAATAGCTTGTTTTTGTTCATTTGTTAAGTTTTTTTCTAGCTCACATGCATATTAACTTTCTCAGCTATGTCATCAACTTCATTCGTAGCTTCTAGTATTGGAAGAACATTCAAATCAATTTCTCCAAGCACATATCTTCTACAATGACATTGTTCACCTATAGTGATTAGTGAAAAAAAAAAGGAGAGAGAGTGAGAGAGATGGAATAAGGTGAAAAAAGAAACAATACTGTAATTTAGAAGGTGTTACTACTATAATGGCACAATGAGAGAAGGAGTAATACAAAGTTATGAGAGGGAAAATACAGTAAAACCAAAAATTTTCTCACCAAACTTTGAGAGGGAAGAGTAGTTTTAGATTTGATAATCTGTCAAATTTTCAAACATTGAATAGTAAATAAGAGTCGACAAAATAGGAGAGAGACAATTTAAGTCAGCTTTTGTTAATGTAAAAGAGTGCTACAAATTATCGATAAGGATTTGTTTACGTTAAAAAAATACTTTCTTATAAGAGAGAAGTATGCCATCATTAGTTCATTAAAAATTGTATAGTTTGCTAAAACGACAGATATTTTGAAACGGATGGAGTACTATATATAATGTAGTCATATCTAAGTTTTAATCTAATATGACTCAACCCTCACAGCTTTATCAACACAATATATTGTACTGTGCTAATATCTTGATTTAGGGTTGGATTGTTTATTTGTTTTGCATCCCATTTTTTGAATGTGAGAGAGAGAGAGAGAGAGAGAGAGAAGGTTATACTTTGAGATAACTTTTAACTAAACAATTTTTATTTTATTTTTTATTTTTTTTATTATAAGTAAAACTAAGTGTTACTTAAGTGTGTGTTCGAGATTATTATAGTTTAAGAAATAATCAATTAACTTTTAAATTACAGAAGTATAATGGTCAAATAAACAACTACTTTTATGAGTTGCTAAGTTCTTATCCTCACAGGCCATAATAAGGATGATCATTAAGGGGTTTATCTGGTTGTCAATTTCAGGATTTTGAAGGATTAGTTGAGGTGCACGCATACTAATCCAGACACCCTCGATCACCAAAAAAAAAAAAAAAAAAAACTATTTATGAAACTGATGATTAAGTTTGAAGTTGATTATAAAATAATTAGTTTTATAAAATGATTCTAAAAGCTTGTAGGGGTAACTTTTAAAAATCACATTATTTCTTAAACTGATTTTACATTATAAAAGGTCAAATATACCTCCACACAATTATTCAAATTACAAAATAAACTTAAATCAACGTTTAATTTATTAAAGGGGCCGTTTGGATCGGGGGTAAATAAGATAATGGGGGTAATCTTCGTTTATTTTGCAAGATTACTGTGTTTGGTTTGCAAGTTATAAAATATTATGGTAATCTTTTATTGTAAATAGTGTTTAGTATTGGTAATGTGGGGGGTAATCTTATTACATTGTTAGGGGGTGTTATCAAAACATTACTGAGGTAATTTGATTATACTACCCATTTTGCCCTTAATTAAAAACAATTTCAGACACAATTGCCCTTAAATGTCTACCGAATAACAATTACCCAACTCCCTTACATTTGAGAAATTAGCTAAAATACCCTAGTCACAAAAAAATTTGAAAGTTAACAAAATACCGCCAGTCACCCAAAACCATCGTCGACCGTGACTCACCACCGCCAACCGCGGGCGTCAATCACCATAATGGTGCATGACCAGCGGGATTTGGCCGATCATGCTCCGAGAAGGCCTTTTCCAGCCATGATTCATGGCCAGAAATGGCTAGATCTAGCGTTTCTATGGTTGTTTCACAGCCAAAGATGTGGTCGTGACATTTACGACCACATCTTTGGCTGTGAAATGGCCATAGATCTGACTATTCGACCATGGATTTGTGATCCATGGCCATTTCAGGCTTTGCCCGCACATGACTGATCATATACGGCCAGTTGTGCACCATTTCATCGATTGTCAGCGGCGGCCTATGGTGGTGGCTGGCGGCCGACAATGGCTTGGGGTGGGTGGGGGTGATTTTGCTATAAATTTAAGTTTTATATGGCTGAGGTGTTTTAGCAAAATTTCAAATATAGGGGGTTAAAAGAATGATTCAAAAAATAATAATAAAAAATATTATTATATTAATATTTAAAAATGAGGGCAATTTAGTAATCTATATAACATACCCACCCATTTATCCTCCAAACAAAACTTATTATTCATCAATTTATTCGAACAAACTAAACACATTTTTTAAATATTCCTAGTAATCTTTATGGTGATATTTCTTTCCGTTAATATAATATACCCTTATAATAAAATATTATATGATCCAAACGTCTCCAAATAGATAACTTTTATAGTTTATTTATAAATTAAAAAAATATAAAAATAGAAATAGACTATCAATCAAAAACAAACAGTTACACTTCAAGTCATAACCGATCACATCGAGACTATAAACTCTTGATCTATCGAAATTCAATAAAAATAATTCTAACATCTATTTTATCCGTAGAAGGTGGCGAAAGATTCAACCCCTTTTTGTCATCAGTCATACACAAAAGTGGACGCACTAGTATCATGTTGGAGCAATGCTGCACTAACGTGACGTGTCTCTCGTAGGTCAAACGTTAATGCAGCCTGGACTAGAGGGGGGCTTAATAAAAATTGGGAAATGCTAGATGTACAAAGAATCTTTGTATTTCACATCAATTTTCTCTTTCTTTTCACAAACGGGTGGTGTGGTAGTTGTCACATCACTTTATACAAAGACTCTTTGTAAAAGTCTCTGTAAATCTAGCATTTCTCATCAAAATGAGTCCATTAACTTTAAATAATACACCCACGCACTAACATTGGAACAAAAGGCTATGGGCTTCTTTAATGCAGTCCAAAACATGTAACCAAACGGGCTTATTGTTGTATTGCACACTATATTGCACAATTTAGTGTTGTTCTACTCAAGGTTTTAAAACCCGACCTTGGGAGCAACCCAACCAAGCCATCGGGTGACGGGTTTTACAGGTTGAATGGTCTGACCTGTCGAACCGTGAGGTCAACATGATGACATTAGCAAAAAAACAAATTTTTTTTTTTTAAAATGTAGATTTTAATTTTTAATGGGTTTTTATTTTTATTTTTTCTTCTCTCTTGGTGTTGGTTTTGTCGAATAAAAATGGCACAAGGGAGAAGAGAAAAGCTGAAAAAGGGTTACATTTAATTTTATTATTTTTTTAATATTTTACTATAGCAATCCGGGTTATACCGGTTGGACTGGTGGTTTGTCGGAAAAAAAACCGGTTCAACTGCAGGTGGACGTGGGTCAATTGCTATTTTCAATTTTTAATATTAACCGACCTGGCCTAGCAACTGATTCCCGATCGAACGGGTTCAACCGGCCGGGCTGGGTCGGGTTTTAAAACCATGGTTCTACTAACGGTTTAAGACATTGTTAATAACTTAGAGGGAAAAAATTTGAATCACATCAACGTTGCTTGTGTAAGGGATCACAATTTCGAAAGTCAACTAAAATTTATTAACCAAACTTCCTACCTTACAGCTATCAACTAAATTCTTGAAGTCAATGGAACAAAATGTTTGGTATTTGAAGTTTTGAGCAACTTAAATGATCAAAATGTCATTTTCTAAAATAAGTGTCCTCCATCAAAGTAAACCGAAACATTCTGGACGGTAAATTTGTTATTTCCATAAATAGGGACTGAGAAAGTTTCCATAAAAAAATCATAAGATTGAAAAAGGACAAAGTAAACGAGTGGATGCCACATCAGATGGGTCCGAACCGATAGTTCTAAACCGCAGAAGTAGTCAAGTAGCTAATAGCTGAGTCAGCAATAAGGGGAGTGCACCCGTTAAGTATAAAAATATCTGAGAGTGCCAGCTAAAAGTTTGCATGCAATAGCAGTACTGCCTCAGTTCTTTCGATTGTGTGGTTTTATAGAATTTCAGAGAAGGACTTAATCAGAGTCCTTGGCAACAAAATATGGCAAGGACACACATAATCGTAATTCTCAGGGAAGGACTTCCCGGCTGTTGAAAATACTGCCCAATTTTCACCACCAAAATGCATCACAAACACTCATCTTTCCTCTGGTTTAGCTCTCTAATTCAGAATGACGATCCTTGTTCTGCAGTCTGAATCTGGTATTTTATTTTTTCTTTTCTTTTTATGTCTTTGTAGTTTTTTTTTTTTTTTTAATTTATTCAATTGTTTATTTTATTTCTTGAGTAGTTGTGAGTGATGAGCAGCAGAATGTTACTATAGAAGAAGAAGAACTGATTTTGGAGGGAGGATTCTCGGTCCCCAACACAAATTCATTCGGCCACAATTTCAGGTTCTCCTCTCTTAATTCCTGATATCATCGTTTATTTGTTCTGTATAGTATGTTCTCAACCAATTTTCTGGTTGATTTAAGGGTTCAAAATGCTGTATCAAACAATGATACATGTATTTTTTTTTTTTTTTAAGTAAAATTTCGTCAATAAAAAATGAATTTATCCCCCTTTTTCATTGTGCATTCCTTTTTATTATTTAACACACTAATTGTAATAAATATTTGCAGATCTACTTCTTTGAAAGTTATTAAAAATTAGCAGTCATAAATTTCTCTCAGAAGTTTTTTAAGTTCTTTACAGTAGGGTTCTCTGCTTATTTCCGAAGTAGATGAGTCTATTAGGTCTCACGGGACAGACACCCTTTACTTGTTGTTGGAGAATTTATGCTATCTACACATAATAGACATTTAGTTTGTTCATGGTATTGGAAAGTCTGAAGGTTACAGAGAAAGGATACAATATTTGTTAACTATAATGAATGACAATACTTGTTTTTTTAACAGCATTTATGAAGAGATATTGGAGAATTTTTTATGCTGTGATTTAGTGCAACTCAATTACCAAATCCTTTGGATTTATATCTATATATTTTTTGCCCTGAATTGATATTATAGTCATAAACAATTTAACCTGCAATGTCAAGCAGGGATTATAATTTGGAGAGTGATAGGCAGAAAGGTGTTGAGGAGTTTTATAGGACTCAACACATCAACCAGACGTACGACTTTGTAAGCAAGTTTACTTTGGATGTTATTTCATTCCAAGAATTGTCATTTATTTTTATTTTTGTAACTTATGATGTGGGGAAACTTAATAACATTGAACAACATCCTTTGGCAGGTGAAAAGGATGAGGGAAGACTATGGCAAACTGAATCGTGTAGAAATGAGTATATGGGACTGCTGTGAACTGCTTAATGAATTTGTAGATGAGAGCGATCCCGACCTGGACGAGCCTCAGATAGAGCATTTACTGCAGACTGCGGAGGCCATTCGCAAAGATTATCCTAACGAGGATTGGCTTCACTTAACTGGCCTAATTCATGGTAAAACTTCTCTTGATATTTTAATTAGGAAAGCTAATATTTACTGATTTTAGCCATGTTGCTGAAGAAGCAGTTTGTTAACTTTGTTTGTTGATGTATCTTAGATCTGGGAAAGGTCCTTTTGCATCCAGATTTTGGGGAGCTTCCTCAATGGGCAGTCGTGGGTGAGTTACCTTTTCTACATTACTGATTACATTGTTAAATAAAACAGACTCCATTCATTTGAATGTTTACGGTTTATTGCTTAATTTACTGACCGGGAATATAATTACAGGTGATACATTCCCTGTTGGATGTGCATTTGATGAATCAGTTGTTCACCACAAGGTCTTACTTTTCATGCATTTCAAGTTCAACTTCTTCTAAACATTATGAAGCAACTGCAATACCTGAATCTTTACTCATTTAGTTTCTCTTTCAATAGTTCTTATATCATTTTGGCATTGTCCTACGGTATTTCAAGGAGAATCCAGACTACAACAATCCTTCTTACAACACTAAATTTGGAGTTTATTCAGAAGGCTGTGGACTAAACAATGTGATGATGTCATTTGGTCATGATGACTACATGTACTTGGTATTATTTCTGATCTTTCTATTGTAAAAGATCGTAGCTCTATATCTTTTCCACTTTATGATGCACACACCACTGTCCATTTTTTTTCATATAATCCTTTTTCTCAACAAGCTAGAGTGAAGATTATGTGGCCAATTAGATATGTATACTTATTATTATGATAATTATCTTAGTTTTAATAAAAGTACAAATGACATAATTATTGGCTTCCCTTTTTACAGGTAGCTAAGGAGAATAAGACTACTCTACCGTCAGCAGGTCTTTTCATAATCAGATACCATTCTTTCTATGGTGAGAAACTAGAGAAATTGAGGAATTTCCATACATTAGCTAGTGTGTCAAAAGCCATTCTTGTGACGAATTTATGTTAATGGAACCAATCTATCTTGCAGCTTTACACAGGGCAGATGCATATAAGCACTTAATGAGTGAAGAAGACATTGAGAATCTCAAGTGGCTCAAAATATTCAAGTAAGAATGCATGTTTCATAATGCTTTGGCATAAAAAAATCATTGTTATATATGAAATTTCTAATTCATTTTGCGTTAAATATGCAGCAAGTATGATCTGTACAGCAAGAGCAAAGTTCGAATTGATGTAGAGAAGGTCAAGCCATACTATCTTTCCCTCATTGAAAAGGTAAACACCAGTTTATATGCCAATCCTTTCAAGAAGGAATGGATAAAGAAAGTGAACGTTGTTATTTTTGCAACCGAAATATAATTTAATTCTAATGTTTTAACTATTCCTATTCCACTTCTTCTAAAACAATTTAAATTTACTCTGTTGCAGTATTTTCCAGAAAAGCTGAGGTGGTGATAGTGGCAGTACCTGTTAAGATTTGCTTTGTAGGCGTTGCTCAGCTCTTTTTATTTTATGTATTGGAGATGTGGGCAGGTGGCTCTTATGTTTTCTTTCATTTTCAATAATATTTGTAATGAGATAATGTATTACATGCAATCGTTGATTGAGTCCAAATCTGCATTTATTCAATATATTAGTAAGTAATCAATATATTAATGATCATTATTAACCAATTTTTTAGTGTATTAATGAAGAAAAAATTATTCAAGTTATATTTAATAAATATATTAATAATCTGTGAACCGATGTGGGCGTGAGTTTATGATATAATCTGTAAAGGTGAGATGAACTAATTGATTAATTTGTAAGGATGCATTATGTGGTTGTGGGTATTTGGTAAGCTCTCAAACACAAAGCAATGTGGGCTGTCACCATCTCCAAACACTGTGGGGGAGGGGGGGTTGAGAAAGTTTGGTATCAGACAAGAACAGAGCAGCCACAAACAGTACACACTTTGAGTTTGAGTGGTCCAAAAGATAAGCCATTTTCATTGAATCTCATTTGAGCAGCAACAAACACCTGGATTTGTATGTTTCGTAGAAATTATATCTTCTTCTTATAATTATATACAGAATAAATCCCTACTCTTCCAATTCAATTCTTTGTAATCTGTGGGAGAACAAATTTCACGTTTGTAAATGGTGGTGGAATCTATTTTCAGATAGATTTTGCATTTACTCTCATCCACTCTCTGGAACCAAATTAATTAACACTTCTGAATTGATACTTCACAAGATTGAAAACATCAAATCAACAGATGGAGATCATGGTAAATTTTGGCTTAAGCCAAAATTCTGATTCTTAAATTGTAATCTCCAAAGGAATTAAAGAAACCAAAAGACAATTACATATTTATTTATGATGAATGATGGGCATAATGGAATTACCATCCCACATCCCTCCCTGCTTTACGTACTCCAAGTACCTAGCGAATTCTGGTTTTGCAGTAGTTTTCTTCTTACGTCGGCGGTCGAAAAGACTAAAGAGGGGATGAGTCTTGACAACCTCTTTGGCGGGCTTCGCCTTAGGCTTAGGATTATCTGCAACTGGGAACGTAACCTCTGCTTTTAATTTGGTTGAAGAACCAAATACGAATAGTCGAGAAGCTGGTACACTTGAAGCTCTTTTCAATTTTCCCTCCCATTCCAAAAGACCGATTGCAGGATCATCACCTACCCGTTCATATTTGTGACAGCTTCTTCGTGTACTCAAAGCTCTAAGCATGGTTTGATGTTGATGAAGAAACTAAAGTAGACTGCAGAGGTTACTGGAATTAATGGTAGATAATAAGAATTTTGCATGAGAAAAATGAAGTATAGTGACAGAGGAATTCAAGCAACAGAGCATAGTTTGATTAATTAGTCAGTCATATTTGGTATGCAACCTGTCTTTTTTTCTGAATATCTTATGCATGCTTTGCAAAGCATGATTGAAATTCATTTAACTTATTGGCCTACAGATTAAGAAAATTGGGGGGTGTTCTTTTGACTTTGCTGCAATCTCAACAACTATAAGAAAAACGTTTGTTAAATCTTCATCTTTGATCAGACCAAGCCTACTAATTTTGACTCACCAACCTCTTCTTTTTAATTTAACATAAAAGGTTTGGGGTCATGTAATTAGGTTCAGCTACCTCAAGTTTGCATCAATGGTTGTCAAATTTTTGTTTGTAAAAAATGGTGGTGAAAAAAAACCCCTTAACTGTAGAGGAATTGACTAAAAATTAATATAAACATCCATCTTGAAATTAAAGAATTAAAGTTTGAATCACTCGAAATACTTGAAATTAAGGAATTGTTATTAATTTACTACCATGAATAATGAATAAACACCGTTTACTCTTTGAACCAAAATTTATTTTTCTCCTGTTTCTTAAATGATCATTGACTTAATAATGGAGAAGTACAAAACAAGAATTCTACTCGTTTATACCTAAGAATGGTGACACATCCTGGTCATACATTGAAGTATAATGTAGAGTTTCTTGGAATGAAATGTTTCAATAAGATACAAATGACAAGGTCAAGCGCCGATTGATCCAAGAAATGGAGAATCAAATAACTCTTCAATAGCCTTCAAAACTGAACATCGTTAATGACTTTTCTTTAATTGGTCATTGCGAGAATTTCCAAGTGTAAACATTAAACACTGATTACAGGAGAAAGATGGAGCATCTGGATGTGGTTGCAACCAAGGAAACGCAGATGAAACAGCTAATTTACTTGAGGACCAAGACAAACGCAGTTTACCAGTCTTCTTATGGATTGAAATCCAATCTCTGTTCTTACTGTTCAGTAATCATAATAAATAAAAACTCTGCACAAGTCATCTTCCTCAAAAGAAATGCCCAGCACTAATTCAAACACCCACTTCAACATCCTGATGTGCTTAACAATGAAAAGATAAAAATTTGACTGACTTAAAAAACATTTGAGGAATTTTTTGTAGCTAGTGATTGAATTTTCTCAAACTTAGTTTACTGGCATTTTCATGACAGTTTTCAACTGACCCAGCTACTCCCTACTGCCTTAGGCAATCCTTTCTTTCTCATAATGCTTCTCAAGTGTTCTGCAGTTTCCCACTTTCCAATGGTTGCATAGAAATTTGAAAGCAGCACGATATACGCAGGCACATCTGGCTCTAATTCTAAGAGATGCTTTGCTGCAAACTCTCCCCTTGTGACATCTAAACTATAACTGCAAGCATTTACTAGCGCTGCCCATACAGCAGGTGTGATCTTGGTACCATTCTTAACCATATCATTGAACAAACACCATACTTCTTCTATTTGACCAGCCCGGCCTAAAGTGTCTATGAAGCAGACATAATGTTCTGGACCCGGATTCAAACCATACTTCTCCCTCATCAAATTAAAACATTCTCGGCCCTGCTCAACCAATCCAGAATGTGCACAAGCTGATAAAATAACAAGAAAGGTCACAGAATTTGGCGAAACCCCACTTCCTCCTTCACCCATCTTTTTGAACAATTTAAGAGCTTCAAGCCCATGCCCATGACTGCCGTATGCATCTATCATGCTTGTCCAAGAAACAACATCTTTCCGACAAATTCTATCAAATAAGGACCCAGCATTCGATATTTTACCACATTTTGCATACATGTCTAGCAGGACATTGCATATTTGGGTATCAGAAGTAAACCCAAAACGAATAGCCAAACAGTGGATCTGCTTCCCAATCCACAAATCTGAATTCTCAGAGCAAGCAGAAAGAGCACTAGTAAGTGCAACCACATTTAGTCTCATTGTACTGATAATCGAAAACGCCTCTTCATACTTCCTATTTCGAACACATCCAGAAATTAAGGAATTTCTCATAACATCATCCACTCTACCATCAAAACTATAGAACACTTTCATGGCATCACTAATACATCCTACAACCGAGTAGAAATCAATAAGTGCAGTACCCAAAACCACCATATCCCGACCTAACACAACAACCAAACTATGCACCTGTTTCCCTTGTTCAAATGCCTTCAAAGAAGCACAAGCCTTAAGAACAGCAGATAAAGTAAACTCACTAATCTCAACTCTTTCCCTTCTCATTGCCTCAAAAACACCAAACGCTTCCTTAGCAAGACCGTGCCTTAAGAAGCTAGAAAGCAAAGCATTCCACGTGACAACATCCTTAAACTCCATCTCTTGAAAAGCTTTAACCGATTCATTCAAGAACCCAAACTTGGAATACATGTCCATCAGCGCAGTCTTGGACACAGTTCCAGTATCTGAACCAGTTTTGATCATTAAACCATGGACTTGTTTGCCGCGTTCTGGTCCAGGCAAAGAAGAACAAGCGCCCAAAACTGGCGTGAAAGTATAAGCATCAAGGTTAAGGCATGCGCAATGCATGTGACAAAAGAGAGTCCATGTGGCAAGAAAATTGCGGGTGCGGACGAATGAAGCAAGTTGGGAGTTGAGGGAGCGGAGGTCTCTGTAAGGAATTTCATCAAACGAGTGGTGAGTGTATACGTTGCGTTTTTGGAGGTGTGTTACATTTACATTAGAGTCGCAAGTCCTGGGGGTTTTGGTGGGGAACTTTCGGTGACGAATTAAACGGATCATGATTCATGGAAGTTTGGGTCTAAGGTTACCCCGTAAAACTTTAAGAGGACGTTTGGTTAAGGAATGTTAGATTATTAGACAGATAGATTATCTTGAAAGATTATTGAAAATTTTTAGGAAAATATGTTTGGTTAGTTGGTGGGTATATTATATTAATATGTTTGGTTACGGGGAATAAATTGATGGGTATGTTATTTAAATTACTAAATTGTCCCCTTTTCAAATATTAATACAATATTATTTTTATTATTAATTTTTGAATAATTTCTTTTAACCCCCAATATTTCAGATTTAGTTAAAACACCCCGCTTGTATAAAACTTTAATTTATTACGAAATCACCCCCACCTCCTGTCGCCACCGCCGGAAGCTCCGAAAGTCCCCTGAGAAGCTCACTGTGATCAAGAGGCTCCGATATGGTCGTTAGCAACCAAATCTAGGCGAGATCTGGCCAAAATAGATCTAGCCATTAACGATCATGTCCGTGGCCGTTAACGGCCAGATCTAGCTCAGATCTGACCGTTAATGGCCAGGGATTTGATTGTTAATGGCTAGTTTCATCGATATGGCCGGAAATGGCCAAAATAGATTTGGCCTGATATGACCTTTTTCGGCCATCAATATGGCCGGAAACGGCCATATCGAAGCATCCTGGAGCCTCCCACCGAATCTCGTTCTTTTTTAGGGACTCCAACGACTTTTCGGCGACGGTCCGTGGTGGTTGGCCACTGTCAACGGTGTTCGTTGGGTGGCAGTGGTGGTGGTGGCTGAGTGACAATGGTGTTCTGTAAATTGTTTTAAATATAAGGACATTATTGTCCAAAATTTTAGTTAAATAAGGGTAAAATTGAAACAGGATATTAATGTAAATTTATTTTAAAATGCGGACATTATTGTCTAAAACTTTTATTAATAAGAGATAAAATTGTAACATAAAAAAGATAATCTTGGTAATCTTAGAATACCTAAGAAATAGAGGTAATCAGATTACCTTCAATTTCCAATAGTAACTACTATTGGTATTTGAAGATTATCGAAATCTTATATTACTTGAGAACCAACGTGGTACAAGTATATAAGATGACATACCCCAATAACTCACATTAGTGCCAACCAAACGCCCGTAAAAAGTAAATAGCATTCTAATGGATGGGTCATTTTATTTGACCTAATTATTGAAGGACTTAAAGACAGACAGTTATAACGTGCTACAATCTATTCTCATAAAAATAAAATATAGGGACTTACCTAGCAAAATTATCATAAAAATATACTTTATTTAACCTAATCTTTGAAGGATGAGATACATAATAATAACTAAACCTAGGTGATCGAATGGTTTGATAAAATCTTAGGTGTATTATTAAGAGGTTTTAAGTTCAAATCCTTTCTCGATTACTAATAAGGGTAGTCATTGAAGTTCTTACCGATAGTAGTTCAGAGTCTTGAGAAATTAGTTGAGGTGTCATAAACTGGTCCAAACCCCGATCATTTAAAAAAAATATATAACAATTATATCATCGATTACAATCCACCAGGAAGATCAAATCATAAATAGTTTTCAACTGACCCAGCTACTCCCTACTACCTTAGGCGACCTATCTTTCTTATACTGCTTTCAAGTGTTCTGCAGTCCCACTTCCAATGGTTGCAAGAAATTTGAAAGCAGCACGAATATAGCAGGCACATCTGGCTCCAATTCTAAGAGATGCTTTGCTGCAAACTCTCCCTTGTGACATCTAAACTATAATACAAGCATTTACTAGTGCTCCCCATACAGCAGGTGGATCTTGGTACCATTCTAACCATATATGAAACAACACAATACTTCTCTATTTGACCAGCCCGGCCTAAAGTGTCTATGAGCAGACATAAGTTCTGGACCCGGATTCAAACCATACTTCTCCTCATCAAATTAAAACATTCTCGGCCCTGCTCCACAATCCAGAATGTGCACAAGTGATAAAACAAAACAAGAAAGGTCACAGAATTGGCGAACCCCACTTCTTCTCACCCATCTTTTTGAAAAATTTAAGAGCTTCAAGCCCATGCCATGACTGCCGGATGCATCTATCATGCTTGTCCAAGAAACAACATCTTTCCGACAAATTCTATCAAATAGGACCCAGCATCCGATATTTTACCACATTTTGCATACATGTCAGCAGGACATTGCATACTGGGTATAAGAAGTAAACCCAAAACGGATAGCCAAACAGTGGAACGCTTCCCATCCACAAATATGAATTCTCAGAGCAAGCAGAAAGAGCACTGTAAGTGCAACCACATTTAGTCTAATTGTACTGATAATCGAAAACGCCTCTTCATACTCCTATTTCGAAAACATCCAGAAATTAAGCAATTTCTCATAACATCATCCACTCTACCATCAAAACTATAGAACACTTTCATGGCATCACATAACATCTACAAACGAGTAGAAATCAATAAGTGCAGTACCTAAAACCACCATTCCCCACCTAACACAACACCCAACTATGCACCTGTTCCCTTGTTCAAATGCTTCAAAGAGGCACAAGCCTTAAGAACAGCATTAAAGTAAACTCACTAACCTCAACTCTTTCCTTCTCATTGCCTCAAAAACACCAAACGCTTCCTTAGCAGACCGTGCCTTAGAAGCTAGAAAGCAAAGCTTCCACGTGACAACATCCTAAACTCCATCTTGAAAAACTTTAACCGATCATTCAAGAACCCAAACTTGGAATACATGTCCATCAGCGCAGTCTTGGACACAGTTCCAGTATCCGAACCAGTTTTGATCATTAAACCATGGACTGTTTGCCGCGTTTGGTCCAGGCAAAGAAGAACAACGCCCAAAACTGGCGTGAAAGTGTAAGCATAAGGTTAAGGCAGCGCAATGCATGTGACAAAGAGAGTCCATGTGCAAGAAAATGGGGGCGCGACGTATGAGCAAGTTGGGAGTTGAGGGAGCGGAGATCTCTGTAAGGAATTCTCTCAAACGAGTGGTGAGTGATACGTTGCGTTTTTGGAGGTGTGTTACATTTACATTTGAGTCGCAAGTGGGGGTTTTGTGGGGAACAACTTGTTACGCATTAACGGATCATGATTCATGGAAGGTTGGGTCTCAGGCTACCCCGTAAACTTTAATTAGTATTTCTAATGGATTTGGATCATTTTATTTTGACCTAATTATAAAGGACTTGAAGACATGACTAGGAGGGCACGGCTGGGGTGGGGCCGGAGACAGTGGTCCCCAGCCCCAGCTCGAAAGCCCGGGGAGTTCTCCAATCCCGGCCCAAAGCCCGTTTGAGGAATTGGGGCATCCCCGAAAAAGCCCGTTCCCAAACGGGGAATTCGGAGATTCCCCGTTTGGGTTTTTTTTTTTTTAAATCCAATTTTATACTTTTATTATTTTTTTCTCCCAATATATATACCACCAAAAAGAAATTAAATATATAATACATATTAAACATAAAGACCATATATCATAAAAAAAAAAAATTAAACTCATAATATGCATATTAATATAAAAACCATCATACTAAATGTCATATTAAATTTATGTATTATATAGGTAATAAATAAAACTAGATTTATAATATAATAATCATAATATTTGTTAATTATATATGTATTATATTATGTATGTATTATATATATATCATATATATTAATATATTATATATAATATATTACAAATATTTATCAATGATTTATTATATTTAATCTAGTTTTATTTATTACCTATTGTATATGTTTCATATAATTATACCACAATTATAATTGTTATTGTATATATATAATTGATTTTCAAATATTATAATGTATATATTATATAATATGCGGGTCGGGCCGGCCGCAGCGTCCCCGATTCGGGGGGCCAATATTGGGCCTGATCTCGGCCGTAGCCTGAAATTTCGGGAAATCCGCCCCGTTCGGAGGGTCGGTGCGGATCCGCGGGGGCGGGCTTTGTGCCCATCTCTAATGACAGTTATACTGTGTTACAATCTATTCTTATAAAAATTAAAATATAGGGGCTTTACCTAGCAAAAAATTATAAAAATAATACTTTATTGAACCTAATCTTTGAAGGATCTAAAGATACTATAATAACCAACCCCGGTGTGATCGAATAGTTTGATAAAGTCTCTTGAGTATGATTACTTAAGAGGTTTTAAGTTTTAAATCTTTTATCGGTTGTTAATAATGGTGATCATGGAGTTCTTATCGGACCGATAGTTCTAGGGTTTCGGAAGATTAATGAGGAGTACGTAAACTGATCGCGAACACCCGATCATTAAAAAAACAATAGCAATTACATCATCTAACGATTACAATACCACCAAGAGAAGATCCAAATTCATTAAATAATGTTTACGTGTTATATTAAAGAGTTATTGTAGATATTAGGATATGCTTACAGAATTTATTTCTATCACATTAATTGTATAAATAAATTTTATAGCTCTTGTTAATTAACCTTCTGATGTAATGGGATGTTTGTCTTGAATTAATCTTGTCTTTCCGAAAATAGAAAAGGAATTAAAGGATTTACCTATATGTTAATATGGTAGTCATTTGCATCTGAATTCACATTAAACGGATCCTATATTTGAGAAATTATTGAGATTTTGAGTGTTTCATAAAGTTAACGAGCAAATGGTAATGAATATTAATAAAGAAATTCAACACCTATGAATTAGAACATAATAATCCTTTAAGTCATGCCAACAAAGATTAGGTGTGAAATCTTTATTCTATCTTATTTCTTAACTAGTATAGTACATGTGGAAAATACTTAGATAGATTTTATTTATTTAGTTCTTGGCCATTCTAAAACACGGTTCCTGTCAATCTACGCTTTTATCTTGGAGAAATTTTTACGCTTATATCTTATTCATGATTGTTTTATATCATATCACATCACCTGCGTACAAAAATTTGAAATTTGAACCTTACATATAAAGTATTATTCATGCGATTCGCCCGTATGAGTGGGCCAACACATATCTGATGAATGACAAAACTAGACTCTACAATTTCCTGCAATATCTATCCTTTCACAAAAACATTGACAAATAAAGCGTTCATCATTGATTTTACAGCATTATAGCAACCTCATGTTATAGGCCTTGATGACTGGTGGAGGTTTTCATAATAATTACCATAATTAGCAGGCTTTTCATAATACTACCCCAAAGCGCGATAATCATCCTGCTCCGTTTCCCCCCCCCCCCCCCCCTCCCCCCCACCATTTATGTTCAAAAAAATTTTTTTACATTTAAAAGATGATTCATTATTTATTAGGCTCAAAATACATATTGGTTATATTTTAACAAAAAAGAAAAAGCTCATTACTTAATTAGAAAGCAATGCTAGTCCCAGAACTTGGATCATCTTTCCGAAGCTAATCACGCCGGCACTCCAGAATTAGTGCCTGCTAATTCTGACTAAGATTTGATAGCAAGATTTCTTTTGCAAGCTGTCTCCATGAGTTGATTTAATTGCGCTAAAAAAATAGACAAAGTTTCCAACTTCCACCTTTTACTTTTTCTCTTTAGCTAAATGAGACTGATTTAGCAAGAGGGCATCTGCCCTTTATCCATTAAACAACAATTTCTACCACCCAAAATTCAAATATCCAATACCTGCTTTTTTTTTTTTTTTTCTTTGTTTTGTAAATCATCATTGAAATATACTCTATTCATGGTAGATTAGCAGAATAAATAAATAGCCCATATATTTGAATGAATATAGCCATTTTCTTTTAGCTAATATCTGTTTCATACCTATTTCTTTAAGCTTAGCTTAGCTTAGCCTAGATTTACCAACTACATAGATGACTAGAATTATCAAATAGACATGATCGATATTACTTACAAGCAGCATAAATTTACAGGATGAGTGTAAATATGCGTTCAGCATATACACTAAGTTTGACCTACCGCTCTTCTGAGTTGAATTTGTTCCAAGCTTCCTGAAAATTAACAATTAAAGAAAAATTTAGATACCGACAGGTCATAAAAGCAACATTCAAAGAGGGCAAAACTGCAACTGTAACAGTATAACACACCTTGAGAAGATCAAAGACCTTCTCGCAAATGTACTTCTGCTGGATACTTGCACCTCTTTGTTGTAATTTGTCAGGGTGAACGCAAAGAGTGGCTTTCCTGTAAGCTTTCTTTACAGCAGCAGAAGTTATAACTTCAGTCAATGGAATGGGATGCCAACCACTATCAGGCCCAAGGATCTGCCAAGGAATAAAACTTGGTTAATTCAGATGCTAGCACAGATTGATTTTTACAAAAACTCCGAATAGAAAAGGTTTGGTAATTTATACATTCATTTATTTCACAAAATACTAAGATCAAAGATAGAGATTGAGGATTTTTTTCCTTCCGTTAAATAATATAGTGGCACTAAAGGAAAACCAGAATTGAAGCTTGTGCATGAAACATTTGATATGAATAACACATACATATTGCAATGTTGAAAGCAAAGCTCGTAGGTTGCCTTCCTTTCCGCTTGACCACCTCTTGACATCAGCATCCAGTGTTTCAGCTAGTCTCTGCAAACGGAAATAAATTGAAGACAATAAGCAAAATATGGCACTAGTTCAGAGTTTGAGAAATATTTTTTAGTGGAGTGAAGGTTTTACATTTCTTTCAGCTTGCTCTCTTTGAGCAAGAAGATCACGCATATTCTTCTCTGCAAGAGCTTTTGCCTACAAAAACACCAGAAGCAAGAAGTTTGTAAGAAATGGATAAGGCATTCACAAATTTTGATAAAATTAGAAGTCATACCGCACGTTCAGCAGTACGGCGATGCCTTTCTAGTCTAGCTTTACACCTCTGAGCTGTTTCACCTTCAGTCCCTTCAGATCTCTCAGTATTATATGAAGCTTCAAGTAGAAAAGATAAATGGTTAGAAGCAACAAGCAGAAGATAATAAAAATTTTAAAATATTCATTCACTTAAATATCCCATCTACAAGAAACCAACACCTGGTACTTCAAAGATTACATACCAACATAAGCTGAAGAATATGGATATCTTGAACCACTAAAGCCGGCACTCTGATATTTATGATCCTGTAGATCCTGCCATTTTCCATCAGTTAAAACACTGCCATGACTATGCATGCTACAAAACATCAATTAAGTATATACTCACATTGGATGAAATTGGTCTCAGTGTACTGTTTCTGGAAGAAGCAGAAAACTTATCTGGAAAAGTTCCACGTTCTCTCGCCTCAAAAGCAGCCCTGTCTGCCATTGCTTTCTCCACAGCACGCTCTCGAGCCTCAGCAGTTGCTCTCTCTACAGCAGCACGCTCTGCCCTCAGTCTAGCCTCCATAGATGCCTTCTCGGCTAATGATTTCTCCTTAGCCTCCGCACAAGCCTTCTCCAATCTCTCCCGGGCCTCTGCCAAAGCTCTTTGTCGAGCTTCAGCAGTTGCTCTCTCCAAAGCAGATCTTTCTGCCCTCCCACGAGCTTCAAGGATTGCTATGTCGACAGCCATCCTATCTTTCTCTCTCTCCCTCTCTCTCTCCCTCTCTTCTTCTATCCTCCTAAGACGTTCCTTTTCCAGTTCTCTCTCCCTCTCTTCTTCTCTCCTCCTAAGACGTTCCCTTTCCAGTTCTCTCTCCCTCTCTTCTTCTCTCCTCCTAAGACGTTCCTTTTCCAGTTCTCTCTCCCTCTCTTCTTCTATCCTCCTAAGACGTTCCTTTTCCAGTTCTCTCTCCCTCTCTTCTTCTATCCTCCTAAGACGTTCCTTTTCCNTTTGCGGTGACTAGCTATGCTGGTGAAGCTACGGCGCCACAGTTTTGTCAGTATGCTCTTGGGGTTATTGATAAGGAGAGCCAGACTTTGAAGATTGTACCTATTGCTTCTAATAAAGTAAAAAAAAAAAAATTGAAAAATTGACATCAAGTTGAAAATTTTATGGAAAAGGTTCAATTTTGAAGATTGTACATTTGTACCTATTGCTTCTAATAAAGTAAAAAAAATTGAAAAATTGACATCAAGTTGAAAATTTTATGGAAAAGGTTCAATTTTTATGTAAAATATTTGAGTTCTCGGTTGGCTTCCGTTGATGGATGCCGTCCATTATTTTATTTTTTAAATTTTATGGATGACCGTTCGTATGATTTAGACACCGTCCATGTAAATGACTCCTGTCTAAATAATATAGATGGCAATCCGTTGTTATTTTTGTGGACGTTCATCCAATTGTAATGAACGATCGTCCATCAAATATGTATGAACTTTCATAATTATTAGATGGTCGTTTATTCACGGAAAGCGTGTGTTGTATCCAACGTAGTTGGGTCTGACTGGATGTCATGTACGTCAATACAAAAATTTGGTATAAATTATCGGTGTTTATAGTATTATTGATTTTACCATTAGAATTTTAGAAATAAAATTTTAACTAAATGCACCAAAAAAAAATTGATATATTGCATACAAAAATCGTTAGAATATATTTTTAATTTAGAAATATTTACATTATCTTTAAAATAATAAAGATAAATGAATTAAAAATATTTTTTTAAATATTTAATAATGATGGTTTACATGGATGTGCATTGCTGAAAGGGTTTAAGTTTAACAAAGACAATTAAAAGTAAAAATTTCAAAAAGCCCCTCTAAATTCGATTAGTTTAATGAGACCCAAAAGATAACCGGAACTTTCTTTATAGTACCCGTATTCTAACAACTCCATCCAAGTAAATACTAATGTACCCACCGGCCACCACTTTCAGTCATAAAGTCTCTGCAAATTCCACACTTTTTCACTATAGTGCTTCGAAATTCGAAGATTTTTCGATTTTCTTCCTCAAAACAGGTAAAATTTCATGCATTATTGTTTCTTTTGAGTAGTTTTCTTGGCAGTTTTGTTTATGAACCCTTTCATCTATGCTATTGAATTGTTTATTTCTGTTTGTTATCTTCAATGTTTTAGGGTTTAGAAGCCTTTGAAGGTGGTAAGGATTGGACCCTTTGATTAATTTTCTTTATGGAACTCTGGTTATGTGCTTAAGAGATTATTGGAATTTGTTTTGTAAATTTATGTATTATTTTCATTCTTTCATTGCGTTTGATGATTCTGAGTATACCCATGTTTTTGTTTTTGGGAAAGAAATGAAATTATAAATGTTGAATAAATAATCTTTTCGGTTTCGTATGATGAAAACTTGATAATGTACCAATCAACACAACTCAATAGGCAATATTAACAACCACCAATAAAAATAACTAAGCAAACCATACAAGTTATCCACGAATGAGACCCAAAATTTAAATCAAGAATCAAGACTAGTAGAGCACTGTACTGGTATTGATCACTTGGAATGTGAGCGTAAACGGAGCTTGTTTGATCATCTAATGATAAAGTTGATTATCAAAGCCCTAAGGCCTGGTTCTTTATCTTTGGCTACTGTCTTTTTCTCTCCACTTTCTTTGTTCTTTTTCTTCACGTGTATTATACAACACTCACTCGCTTCCTTTTTTATTTGATCTTTTATTTTGGTGTAAGCCTTAAACATATGTGGTGGCCTGCTAAGTTCCCCTTCCGCCTCTTGTGGTGAGCTCCATCATACACAATCTGCTTGTACTTTCAGGTTTTTCTTGGGAAATGGCTTTGTATCATATCTGGCTCTTTCTTAGTTGTATTAATCTTCTCAACCAGCCATATCTTTATCTCTGGCACAGCACTGATCCAATGATATCAAATCATTGTGCTTGGATTTTGAATTAAAAATATGCTGTCACAATACACAGCATGTTTTCCTGTTTCGAGCCCAATTCCCAAGGGATTTTTCTTATCCATTGCCTGTCTTTGCTAGCTTCATTCACCACAATATATGGTAGACAAAGCAACACACTTTTGTAGCTTAAATTTCCATTAACCCCTGCCAAGGTCATCCAATACCCTAGAGTAGATAGACTCAATATCGGCAGCTACAATTGCATCTTTTTAACTCTGAGATATCTAACGATCCTTTTAATTGCTAGCCGATGGTTTTTAAGATTAGAGAAAAGCTTTTGAAAAATCCAACACCATGAGATTTATGGCCTTGAATTTACCATGATATATGTTCAATTACTGATTATTGATATGCAAGGAACTCTACTTATTTATTCTTTTTTTTCTCACCTGTAGGATATTGTTGTTTGCTAAGCCTGAAATGGTTCAATAGGGGATAACAACAAACTGATTATGCATTACTCATGTTGAATAATTTGTTGGGATGATTAATTGGGGTGATGTGATGAAAGTACAATTATACTTCATATTGCCTTCCTATTGAAGTATCCGTGAATTCTGGCTTTTCATTATATCATTTATATGTGTGCTTATTTGCTTCTGGGGTTGGTTTTTATTGTTGTCTTTTTAGTGATTTTGTTGCTCTCGGAATATCTCATTTATACCCTGGTGTTTTAAGCACCATTTGAGGTTGCCTGGGAAACAACTCTGGAGTATCAATCACATTTCACTTTATTGTTTGTGTATTTGTTCTTCTGTTAAAAAAGAAAAATGAATTTTAGTGTTCCTTATTATTCATGGTTAACATGCTACCTTTTTGGGAAAGTGCAATTTTAATTTTAATGTGTGATTGTGATTGTTTGATTCAGAAGTAGCAGAGCACTCGGCTTTCCTCTGTTTATAGATCTGTGTGCACATGCAAAATTTGCCAATTCTGCTCTATGTTTACCAGTTCCAACTTTGAGTCATGGAGACTTGTTAGTTTATGCAAAATCTGAAACTCAGTAATGTTTTCTTTAATTGGATCTGAAAATAGGTCTCACTTTTCTCATGTTTTTACAGGGTTTATGGTGAACTTCTAAATGTTGGGGAGGAGCTTTGGGAGGAAATGTTACCATTACAAATGGGTACTCGATTGTACCAGCTTCTGGGGTTCAAATCAGATAATTGGTATGAAGTGAAGATATCGTATCCAGCTTCTGTATGTGATTTTCTTTATGTATGTTTTGTTGCTCTTTGCTGCATTCTCATTTTGAAAACTTATTTCTGGTGTTCTGTATCTGCTTGCTTTTCATTGCAACTGAAGAAAGGCAACTTCGACTTGAGTTTGAATCAGAACAGAAGGTTATTGAATACTGAAAAGTTGATATTCAAGACTGATAGTCTTGATGTGCTCAATGTATGTGACGAAGTTTGTGGATGCAATCTTGTATGTTTTATGAGATGATCTCAAAGTTTTGTCTTGTGCTCCGGGTGGAATATATGTTTTAGTGACTGTGGAGCCTGAGGGGACTGTTGCAATACCACTGCCACATGTACAAGAGAGGGTGTTTATCATTTTTAATATCGGTAATATTCAGTTAATTTATTCTATCATAAATTTGTGTTCCACTGTTGCATAAAAATTTGGTTAAGCTATCCGTATTTGCCCTTGACATATTTTAGAAATGGTGATCCGTCTCTCTCGTCATGTTCTGTGAAAGAAGTTCTAACACTTCGTATTTCTGTCATGATCCCATTTCAGCTTTTTGTTCCATTATAATGATGCTGATTCTTTTATTTGCATCCTTAATGATGATTTCATAAGTAATCGTACAAAATTCTACCAAAACTATAAGATCAATATGTCATGTCGAGGCTCCTAAAATGTTGAAAAAAAAGTATTGCCATTCTGGACTAGCTTCTAATAATAGTTGAAAAGATCTAGGTTCCTTCATTCCGAATATGTTTTCAAGGAAAATTTTAGTACGACTTTCACTGTAATTTATCAATAAAGAGACAAAGTTATGTTTGTTTTCTCGGGCGATGTCCCTTCGATAACTCGTTCCCTTGCCATCTGACTGCCCTCCCTTTTACCTTCCTACTGGATATAGCCTTTGTTTATCTTGTTTCTGTCACAGCACTTTGTGAAACGCTTTTGTTTTCCAATCTCCATTCATACTCTATGGTACATCGTAAATCACCATATCTTGAATTAATTAAATAGTTCTGTTCTTTTTGACAGTTAGCGATGAACTATTACTGGGCATCCCGTACAGAGCTTGGACGTTGTTGTCTTCATGTTGATCAATTTGGTATCGGCGTTCATTTTTCCTCATTTTCTTCCATACTATTTGCTGCTAAAAAATGAAAAAATTGGTGCCGGTTGCTCAGTATATTTCCAAGGAATCTGATGGATACCTCCACTAGAACTCTTTACTTGCAACGCAACTTCCAAACAATTCACACAAGCACAGCAACACCAGACGTCACGTACATCAATATAAACCAGAGCAATAACCAATATAAATCAGAACAATAACCAGACAAGGGAATGCAAATACGATTCTATTAAAAGTTAAGAATTATGTTCAACAGACCCAAATAACAACTGGAAACAAAAAGACAAAGATAAGCTGGTCTTCGATGGCCAGCACCTCCCAGGACAGACCAATACACAAATTTCAGAATGTTGTCCCTCTGCCCATTCTTCCCGTTTTATTCTAACACCCAAATCCTAATCCTAACTAACTACCTAGCCATCTGTCTCAATGCATTTTCTGCCTAGCCACTTGTCTCAATGCCTTTTCCCCCTTTTCCCCCTTTGTCTTGTGCCTTTGCCTTGCGTGTGTACCACTTTGAAATGCAGGGTCCATCATTACCCTTCCCAAGAAGTGCCAACTTGTCCTCAAGGTGGAAAGATGGGAACTGATGGCAGATAGCTTCACAAGGTTCCCAAGTATTGTCAAAAGTTGGCAGGTGTTTCCATTTGATCAAAACTTCATAGGTGCCATCAACCAACCGTCGTTTGAGCAGGGCCTGTTCGAGTTCCACCTGAAGCACCATATCGCCAGCCAAAAAGGGTGGAAGAGGAAGTGGAGTGCGGAACTGGATGTGAAGTGACCGATTAGTTTGCGATACATGGAAAATGTTGGGGATACGAGCAGTGTCCGGAAGTCTCAATCGATAGGCCACAAGACTAGGGGTGAGCGGTTCCGGGTACCCTGCACTTTTCCGGGGAACCGGAACCGGAACAACACGTACAGGTTTCCAAAAAAAGGAACCGGAACCGGAACCGCACAGTACAGGTTCTTCAATTCAAGGAACCGGAACCTAAAATGCAGGTTCGGTTCCTTTCCAGGGTACCCTGTAAAAAAAATCAATACCCCCTATTAGTTAAAAAATAACAAACAAACACCTTAAAGTTTTACAAATACAACCCTAACAAATTTTCGTTATCATTTTCTTGTGTCCATGGAACTCATAACCTGTAATCTCTAAGCAACACTTGAATTCAATCAATTCATCCACAATTCACATAAAATTCGTCAATCAAAACCAAAACACAAACAATTATTCATCACAATTCACATAAAATAACTTCACAAAATCATTTAACAAAACAACAATTCTTAATAATAATTACTAACATGCCATTTGCCAGGGTCTATTGATTAGTTAATAAATTATTAATATTTATTAATTATTAATTTAAGTTATAATTGGTTAATGGGTATTTATAATTACCAATATAATTTAGTAAATTTAATATTAGAAACAAGTAATGTTATAATTAATAAGTGATCATACTACAATGTAAATTGTAATGTTATAATAATTAAGTGATCATACTACAATGTAATTGTAATGTTATAATTAATTAAGTAATATATTATTTAATTATATGTAAATTTAATTAATTAAATTGTAATCATTTAATTAGTATTATAATAGTTTATAATAGAATGTTATAATTAATTAAATAATCATATCATAAAATTATAAATAATGTTATAATTAA